AAAGGAGAAAAAAAAGGAAAATTGTTAGCTATGGAATGTCAAAAGCAGAAACCACAGGAGAACAGGAAAGATTACTGTGAACAAACAATACTTCTCACCGCAACAGTAGAAAGATTTCCCTGTACTGAAAGGTCATAGAAAGAGGGAGAAAAGTGTTGAGGGAGAAAGATTAGTATGGCCAGGGACAAGGAAAACTACATTAAAGACTATGTGTCCATGAAGAGAATCTGTATCTATGGACTAGCCAGCCTGTACTTGACCTGCACTCCAGCCACCACTCCCAATCTCAGACACTTGGAGAAACTTAGCGAATTCTGCCTGCAGCTCTTTTGGAACCCATACCATTAAGCATTTTATGCCTGCAGAACAAGCAGGAACTATATTAGATCCTTCCTGTTGAACTCTCCATCTTTCAGGAACCTAAATCCTCCATGTATTCCAGCGAGACTTAGAAGATCATGTGGAAGATTTGGTGGGCCATGCCTGGGCCATCCCATTTATCCACACTCCCATTTATCTCTTCTATCAGAGAGCTCTGCCACATGGCCCCACCTAACTGTAAAAGAGGATAGGAAATACAGTTTTCGTAAATGCTCAGGAGGACAAGAAATGCAGATTTTATGAGCATACAGCAGTGTGACATATCACAGATGCCATATCAGTATAGTGTGCCCAACTAAAAGCAGCTTGAAATAGTAATGTTTCATAAAGTTCAGATTTGAGACGTAGGTGACTCAGTGACAATAGGTCCCTGAGTGGGATTTTCTGTAATTTTTGTGGCTATCCCCTTGTGTTTGAAAGACAGTTGTCATAGCTGTAGGCATTACACCTTCCACCATCTACCTTCAAAGACAAGAAGGAAGGAGTCAGGGTTTTTTACCATAAACCACTCCCTTTTTATCAAAGAGGAAAATATTTGCCAGAAGCTCCCCAGCAAACTTCCTCTTACTACTTATTTGGTAATAATCAATCACTAGAAAAGTGGAATGGAGCAATATAACCAGCTTCAATAAATCAAGATTCATCTCCTGAGGCTGTGCCCAATAAAGCTCAAAACCTGAACAAAATCAGAGTTCAGCTAGCAGGAAGCAGAGAGTGATATTAGGGAGGGAACTGATGGGAACCAACAGTCTACCAGAGACAGTAAGTGAAAAACACAGATGAAGAGGTGGAAATCCTTCCAAACCTCTCAGTCTTCGAAATAAGTGTAATGAGCTAAACTCACTTACTAAAAAGCAGATTCAATATTGTAAGTACGGCAAAACAGTTCTTAGACAAAAAGCTTATTAAATCGGACTAAATGGAATTTAAATCGAGGAAGTAATTAATAGAGAAAAAGTGGGAGAAAATATTTGACGATAAGAATATCCACCAAAAAAATGTACAAAACATTAATTTTCACATGACTTGTAACATAGTTTCAAAATAGATTTGCCAGCTCTGTACAAATATAAGGAGAAATGGACAAGTTCACAATCATTGTAAAATATTTCAGTCTATACCAGAAACTGGAAGATTAGACTTAAAAATAGTAAGGACAAAAAAAAATTTGAATAAAATAAAGGAACTTGATTAACAGATATGCATATGAACTTGAATCCAATAGAGAATACACATTATTTTCAAGTACATATGAAACACTTTTTAAATTGACTATATACCAGGTTACAATAAAATTTTAGCAACTTTAAAATATATTCCTATGTGATTCACAGATTAAAGAGAATATCAGAATAGAAATTATAAAACATTAAAAGTAAACAACAATGAAAGTATAACACAGCAAACTTGTGGGATACTAATAAAATGGCATTTCAGAAAATTTGCATAGCTTCACATGCAGTTAGTTAAAAATATAAATGATTAAAAATCAGTAAGTTAAGTGTTCAATAGATGCTAGAAAAAGAAAAAATTGAGTAAACCTATATAAAAAGGAAAGAATTAATAAAGGTATGTTTAGAAAATCTAAAAAAGGAAATAATACAAAATATCAAAACTACTAAAAGATTTTATTTTCAATTATTAAAGTAGCAAATCTCTGGCAACACTAATCAGGTGAACTAGGTGAGTAAATGCACAAATAAACAAATTATGAAACAAATGCAAACATAATTAAAATAGAGGATTTTTAAATCACAGACTACCATGACAAAACTATGGACTACTTTGTATTATTAAATGTAATTTGTAAAAATATAAATTTGTTTCAAGAAAATCTGAAAATTTTAAACAATAAATTGAAACAATAAGCAAAATTATTCTCACTCCTCTACCCAAGAAAAGAAAAATCCCAGTTCATAAGGCTTTTAAAGAAAAGCTTTACCAAAATTTCAAGGATTAAATGGGAGGAGAGGGGCCAAGATGGCCAACTACAAACAGCTGCAGTGGGTGGCGCCCATCAAGAAGAATCAAAACAGCATGTGAATCCCACACTGACTGGGTAAATAAAATGTAGTACATGTACATACCATAGAATACTGTGCAGCCATAAAAAGGAACAAGACCACGTCCTTTGCAGGGACATGCATGGAGCTGGGAGCCATCCTCAGCAAACTTACACAGAAACAGAAAACCTGACACTGCATGGTCTCAATTTTAAGTGGGAGTTGAGCAATGAGAACACATGAACACAGGGAGGGGAACAACACACCCTGGGGCCTGTCGGTGGGGTGGAGGGAGGGAGAGCATCAGGATAAATAGCTAATGCATTCGGGGCTTAATACCTAGGTGATGGGTTGATAGGTGCAGTAAACCACCATAGCACACGTTTACCTAGGTAACAAACCTGCACATCCTACACACGTATCCTGGAATTTTATTAAATTTTTTTTTTAAAAAAGAAGGATTAAATGAATCCCCATTCCATAGAAGCTCTTTTAGGGATGAGAGAGAGAGAAAAAAATCATGGCATAGGAGATAGTTAATTTTGTTTTTTTAAAAAAAAAAGAAAAAGAAAAACTGGACAATGATAATGTAAGAAAAAATTATGCCCTGATTTTATTTGTGAATAGTCATAGAAATCCTAAATTTCTTAATAGCAAAGTGAACTCAACAATTTAGTGAAAGAAAGTAATGGTAAAATGAGGTTTATTTCAGGGAGGTCAGGATGGTTCATCACCCAAAAACCTATGATGCATCACACAAAATTAACAACTAAAGGAATGAAAACATCTGAATAGATGCATCAAACCCACATAAAATTCAATACTCATTCTTACCATTTTTTAAAAACTTAAGTTATTTGTATGATCACTATTATTTTATATTGTACCAGAGGTCCTAGCCTGTTAACAGAAGAAAAATGCAAGTGCTGTCTAGAAATAAAAAGGAAAAAAATTAATTCTTTTTAGTTGTATTTAATATGCTTGAATATAGAAAAAGACAGAATACTACATAGAAATACTTATATCTGAAAAATTTCAAAAAGGTTGCTACATGTGAAATGAAAATTTAAAATATGCATCAATAATAACCAATTCTAAAATATAATAGAAAAAAATATATCATTCATGAGGAGAACGAAAAGAAAAGATATCTTGGACTACATTGAATAAAAATTGTATATAACATTTGTGGAGAAAAGCATTAATCATTAATCATTATGAGGAACAAAAATTAAAAAAAATGCCTGATTAAAGGAAGCAATATACCATGGCAATAACTACTAAACTGAAATATCTATATACTTTAGCATAGTAAGAATGTTTGGGTATATACATCCTCCAGAGAGACTCACACTGTATGGTAATAGAGGAAATTTGGATGCAACTAAAATTTCATCAAAAAGAGAATAAATAAAAAATTGGCAATTTTTTTTAGACAGTGTCTTGCTCTCTTGCCCAGGCTGGAGTGCAGTGGCACAATCTCAGCTCAGTGCAGCTCAGTGCAATCTCTGCCTCCTGGATTCAAGCGATCCTCCTGCCTCAGCCCCACTAGTAGCTGGGATTACAGGCATGCACCATCATGTCTGGCTAATTTTTGTGATTTTAGTAGAGACAGGTTTTCACCATGTTGGCCATGTCTCAAACGCCTGACCTCAAGGGATCCACCCGCCTTAGCCTCCCAAAGTGCTAGGATTACAGACATGAGCCACCACGCCCGGCATATTGACAGAATGAACTATAATACAGTAGTAAAAATTAGTTAACTATAGATATGTTTATGACAATGGATAATCTTAAAAACCTGTTTTTTAATAAAGACAAGTTGCAAAGGAATAATGAAGTACAATGCTATGTGAAACTTTTAAGATATTCAAAACATTTTATATATTTATGTAATAGTATAAGACATGCCCAGAAGCACTAAAAAAAAATACTCAAAATCCATATGTAAAGCAATGGAACAGGGGACTATGACTGTATTTGTAATCATTTTTACTTCAAAGCCAACTGAAGCAAACATGGAAAAATGCTAAGGTTAATAAAGCTGGATGATGGAAACGGTATGTAGCAGAGTTTGTCATGGTCTCATGTGAAATGTGGTATTCAGCCTTGGAAAAATTGTCACACAGAAGCCTAATCAATCCCAGGAGCTTGGGTATTGCTGCCTCTGGAAAAGGCTGGTAGAGATCTTCAGTGCTGGTATAAAACTTCATTCACAAACCACTAGAGTGACAGATGAAAATAGTGAGTAGGGCTGGGCACGATGGCTCATGCCTGTAATCCCACCACTTTGGGAGGCCGAGGCGGATGGATCGCTTAACTCAGGAGTTCGAGACCAGCCTGACCAACATGGTGAAAACTCGTCTCTACTAAAAAAATACAAAATTAGCTGGGTGTGGTGGTGCATGCCTGTAATCCTAGCTACTTAGGAGGCTGAGGCAGGAGAATCACTTGAACCCAAGAGGCGGGGGTTGCAGTGAGCCAAGATCACACCATTGCACTCCAACCTGGGAAACAAAAGCAAAACTCCATCTAAAAAAAAAAGAGAAAGAAAAAATGAAAAAAGAAAATGATGGATAGGTAGATTAATTTGTTAATTAAATAATATATCCAGGGAAGGTTTGAAACACAGCCTTTATTACATATGATGTTTACATGTTAGACTGAGTGCTGGTCCCTCAACTCCTTCATACCTTGGGCAGTCTGTCTGCTACTATCTCCATGGCTCTTTCTTCTCCCTGGAAGTGAAGAAAACAATTGAGGCAGAACAGGAAGAGGCAAGAAACAATATGAGCATTGCTAGTCAGTTACTCTTCACCTTTGTTTTAAAGCTCAGAGCAATGCATACCACAGTGAGTTCATTTCCAGATCAACTGCAGCAAAATGAAGGGTCTGAAACATTTCCAGGTCTCTTGGGATTGTATCAGGATCATGCTGTTACCTCTCCAAATTCCCCTTTTCCCCAAGGGCTATATCCATGGGCTGAGGTGAGTTCCCAGCTCAGGCCAAAGGCCCTCATACTCCATACCTCTGATCTTGCTGGCACCCTGGCCTTTCAGGCCAATCCTGGCCCTTGAGGTTACACTGAGCTTTATTTGTCTAGAAGAGCTCCAGGATTTCCTCTTAGAATTGAGGACAATCATGGAGACACTGAGAAAGTTCCAGTCAATGCTCTTTACCTCATCATCTAAGCAAATGGAGGACAATTCCTCCAGAAGCACTAGGAACATTACAAGTTGATACAGCTGCAGAGCCACCAGGTAACCCTGTGCAACCCTGCAGCTCCTTCCCTTGGATTCCTCTGGGTCTCACAACACCGCCTCAGAACACGCAAGTCTCAGGCCTTACCTCTTGCAAGAGAAGGCCACACCATCTTCCAGTATCTTCTGGCCCATAAGTCTCAGTTGCTGTGTGAAAATCAACCCAAAGAAAGACACTTCTTAGTTAATGCGATCTTTGAAATTCTCAGAACTTCCTGCAGGGGCTGGAAAGCTCAGGACAAATCCTGACTTACAATCAAGACTTTATTATATGCCTAGGCAAGAAACAGGAGCCCAGTTATGCCCCTCTCCATTGTTCCTTGAGCCAGTAAAGCTTCCAAATCTCCCTTGCAGAGACCTAAGCCTGAACTGGGGAGAGAGTACTGGCTCAGGGAAGCCATTGCTCCCTCAGCAGACCCAGCCCAACCCAGCTCTTGCTCACTTCCTGTCCTTTGGAATGTCCTTTGGAGAGTGAAACACACAGCCTGGACATTGGCTCCAGGATCTCCTCAGGCCATGGTCTTCCCCTGTGGGCTGCTCCTCCTCCTCCTTCTTTTCTTCTGGCTTCTCTTCCTCCTCCTCCTCCTCCTCCTCCTCCTCCTCAGGGTCATCCTCTTCCTCCTCCTCCTCCTCTTGGGTGCTCTCTGATTCCATGTTGCCTGTCAGCTGAGCCATGGTGAGATGAAAGACGTGGCAGCTGAAGCCCTCCCTGATCCCATACTGCACATGCTCCTGGAGGGCTTCCATGGTGGTGAACACCCGGCAGCAGGCCATGCACCTGAAGCCGTTCTCCATGGTCACCAGCCAGTCAGGTGTCTTGGCCCTGGGTCTCTCCTCAACAGCCGGTGAGCCTGGCAGGCTGTCTGACTCTGTCCTCTCCTCATGCTCTTTCTCCTCCCCACTGGGCTCACTGTCAGAAAGGAGGTTTCTGGTGGACACATCCGAGGGGGGAGTACCTACCCGCACAACCTCAGGAAGGGTCACTTCTTCCATCCTTGGCTGCTTTTCTAAAGACTCTGAAGTTTCCTCTGTCTCCCAGGAGACAGCTACACCTTTTTTCATTTGTACCTGCATATAGTATATTTTCATGCCCCTTTCCTCTTTGTTTACACACAGAGAGGACACACAGGTCTTATAGGATGAATGGGGCGACAAGGAGACATGTTGTGAGCAGGGAGGAGTCACTCCTCGTTCCTGAACTTGGGCTAGGGGTGATTGAAGCTGGGGGCTGTCTTGACGTATTCTGTGGATTCCTGGAAAAGGAAATTAGAAACATGAGCAGATGCACGGAGGATGCCAGAAGCTGGGGGAACATAAGTTTAATACGTGTGGTACAGAAGAGAGGGACTATGGTGTGATGCAGCTGTGTGGTGAGCTTGGTATTTGTCATTCATATTGTGAGGCAGTGATTCTAGCGTCAATTGTGTATAGGGATGTTGATGGGGTGTCTGTATCCAGGGGTGTGGAGTATGGTGGTAAGGACTGCAGCCTCTGTGGAATGTTGGCAGCATGTGTGTGCTATGAGGATGTGAGTTGGTGCCGTCATTGATGTGTTATTTGTGAAAGGTGGGAGGTGGTGTGGGAGAATGGCACTGCACATCATGCATTTGGGTTGTGTGTGTGCAGAGAGTGTGCCTGCAGAGAGAGTGGCTGTATGTGTGAGGTGTGTGGGCTAGAGAGTCCCGCTGCAGTGCTGGAGGCCTGCGCTGAGGAACTCTCTTCTCTGGAAGGCAAAGGCAGGACCCAGATAGTTTTGCTGAAGGTGCTTAATCTGGTCCTATGGCCCTACACAACAAGCACAAACATTTCTGACTTTTTCTGCTCCCTGACTGCACACCAGGGCTCATGCTCTCCTACACTGAGTTCATATCCATGCTTTTCTAACAGCTGTGTCACCTTGCCCAGACACTTCTGCAGAGCTCTGATCACATCTCACTGCCCTGAGTTTCTTCTCAGCCTCATGCTTGGATCTATGAACCTCCTGCTTTCTACCCAAAGAGCCCTGCACCCAAAAAGTCCCATGCCTAAGGAGCCCTGCACCCAATGAGCCCAGTATTCAAAAAGTCCCACACCCATAGCACCCTGCATCCAGAGTCCCATGCTCAAGGAACCCCATACCCAGAGAGTCTCACATCCAAGGAGACCCACACCCAAAGAGTCTCACAACTAAGGAGCCCCAAACCCACAGAGCCCCACTCCTAAAGGGTCTTACACCCAAGCAGCACTGCAACCAAAGAATCTCATGCCCAAAGAGCCCTGTACCCAAAGAGCCCCAGTCCCAAGGAGCACCACACTCAAAGATTTTCATGTCCAATGAACCCCGCAGCCAAGGAGCCTCATGCCTAAGGAACCCTGCACCCTTACCACCATGGATGAGCTTGCGTGAAGAAGAAATGCAGGAGAAGTATTCAGAGGTAGAGGAGACTTCTCCTACCCCTTGGCTCCAGCCTTTGGCCACTCCACTGGATCCAGACAGCAGGACATCCTTTTTGGACTTTGACATTCCTGAGAAAGGTATGAAGTACACAGAGACATGGTGGATGAGGAATGTTTGTACATCATTTATCCATCCAACAAATATTTACTGAGTGGCTGACATATGTCAGGTGTGGTGAACACACATGGTTTATGAAACTGGCTTCTGGTAGATACTCCAGTATTTAATTACCATCAACAGGTATTTTGTAATGTATTTTTAGGAATGTATGCCTGTGTGGTAACTATGAATATGTCTAAAGTGTAACAGTGACGCATATCAGATAGCCTTTGATATGTGTAGGTTCGTGTGGGTATACTGTACAAACGTGTCTGTGTCTATGGAGTTTGTGTGCATAGTTTGTGTTTACAACCCTGGAATTCTGCAATATGTAACTCTTCCTGATTATATGATGTGGCTTATATTTATAATGTATATTAATTCATTCATCTGGCAATATTTGATGAACAGCTACCATGTATCAGACACCAGTCCACTCTTCTAGACTCTAGGAATACTTAACAAAACAGTCCTTCTTCTAAGTGGACCTTCCATTCTAGACAGGGAAGACAGACACTAAGCAGAAATCTTAAGTATGTAACAGGTCAGCTCATTATGAGTATATAAGGGTTCCCAGATTTAGCAAAAACAGCTGATGCCAAGTTAAATTTGAATTTTGGATAAATTACAAATAATTTTTTAGTGTAAGTATGTCCCTTCAATATTTGTCATCCTTATTTCCTAGTGTCAGTATATTCTGTACCATATTTGGGACACACTCATACCGAAAAAATCATTGGCGGTTTATCTGAAATTCCAGTTTAACTGGACATCCTGTATTTCATCTGGCAACCCTAATAAGAGGATGGTGGTGAATCTTTGTTTTGTTGTGGTCTGTGGCAAAGTGGGCCTAGCACTGCTATGCAGTATGTTACAGATATGGTATATACGATGTGTGGGGCTCTTAAAGAGGTATTTAGAGATAGTTTAAGGTAGCTGTTTTTATGTGAGAATTGAGGAGACACACACACACAAACACACACACCACACCACACATGAAATCTCTGTAGGAAGAAAGGACTGTCACACACATGGGTTGTGTGAGTATGTAATAGAGGAATGGTGTATATATAACTATATGCACTGTGTGTGGAGGCGTGTGACTTTTTTCCGGTATCAGAGGATATATGGGTATATGAGTGACTGTCTCCTGGAATACCCTGAACAAAAATTCAGTATACACTGTTATGTGTATTGAGTGCTGCCCAGGCCCAGGCATGGTGACAGGAAGCTCGCCCTGCAGAACCCACCACAGCACTCCCATTATCCCCAATCCTTCCGCTACACACACACACACACACACACACACACACAAACACACACACACAGAGAGAGAGAGAGAGAGAAAATTCTGAAATGTAAGGGTAGCTGAAGGAGAGGAAAACCATTGCCTTCCCCTTACTGTCCCAACCCCCTCCTCTCCAGGTCTACTCTCTATGCCTCCGCTCCGGGCTCAACCTACAGTCCTTACGACCTTGGGCCTCATAGGCCTGCTGAGCTCTTAATTGCAGCAGAAGCCTCCAGGGCCATCCGGGGCAGGCTCCTTTCTGCTCTGCTCCTTCATGTGACCATCTCCCTGTCAGAACAAAGGGCTTGTTTACATTTAATACATGCCATTATCATGCCTCCTGAGAAATAAACTGACAGCGCTCTAAGGCCCCTCCCCTGTGCTTCATTTCCTCTGGGAAGTCCCACACTCTGGATTCACAAACTCTATTGGATTAATGGGTTAATTCTTCCTGCTGAAGGAATCAAACCTCCCTGGTTTCAGTATGATGCCATCCCTAAACAAGTGTTTAATCTACTTTCCAACAAGCATTTCATTTCTCAAGATATTTTTCAACAAGGCTTTAACTCATTGGGCTATTCTTTCATTTCTGCTAAAAGGGGCAGTGCAACTCATAGATTTCTACGAGAACCTTTCCGCCCCCAACTCAGTCACCCCAGGGAAAGAACAAATAGACTAAGAGAGAGAGACTCAGGCTGCATCACTGGGTCTTTGTAAGTGGGTCCCCCACCCCGGCCGCGCCTGCCTGGAGACTGACGTAGCTCCAGGTACAGAAGTTCTCAGACGAGCAAAGCTGGCCTTCCGTGTGCAAGCGGCATCTGGACTTCCTGTGCCACCTCACAGCCGGTACCCTCAAGATGGATGTGCCGGCGTCAGCCCGGAGCCAGGTCTCCCCCTCCCTGCTGCATAGGTGGTACATTCTCCTCAGTGCCTCCTCCCCAAAGGCGGCTCAGGCTGGCCAATGACGCTTGTGCCCCAGACGGTTGGCCCCGCACGTACCTCCTCCCTTCTCAGCGGTTTTCTGGGACTCTTCATTTTCCAAATGTTTCCTCTTCTGTCGCCGTTTCATGGAATCAGCTAGAAGAGTTTCTAGAAGATGCTTAATGTCCAGCTCCCCCTTTTTCCTGTAGATTGGCCTTTCTTGACTCTCAGGATATTCATTTAAAAGATTCAGTACGAATAAAAGTAGTTTTGTCTCCTAAACAGCTGAAGAACTCAGACCGCTTAGGGAACGAGCAGCACTGCCCCGTGCTCGCTACACAGCGGGGCTGTTAAGGGTCAAAGGTCACCAGTCCCTCAGCAGATTCTCTGACCTCAATGATGACATCACAGCGTTCAGTGGACCTACGTCCAACACAGTGGATGCAACTGCACAGACCTCGTTTTCAAGAACAATTCCTTTTTTCTAGTGGAAGTTCTCTAATGAATTCAAGTCTCCCGTATTTCAAATGTGGCAGAATATTTTGAGATGTTAACATGTTTCTGTTTAGTTTTTTTCCTTTCTCCTTTTTTTTCACCCTTTCCCTTTCGGACTCAAGCAGGTAGCAGGCCTTGTGTTCATTGCTCAGAGGAGGGTATGGCAGGGCTGAAAGCAGCAATAGCATGCAATCATCTTGACTTTTCTTTGTTTTTCTTTTCTTTTCTTTTTTTTTTCTTTTTGCGATAGGGTCTCCCTCTGTTGCCCAGGCTGGAGTGCAGTGGTGTGATCATAGGTTACTTCAGCCTCAACCTCTTGGGTTCAAGTGATCCTCACACCTCAGCTTCCGGAATAGCTGGGACCACAAGGATGAGCTACCACACCTGGATGATTTTTATTTTTATTTTTATTTATTTATTTTTTTTTTTGAGAAACAGAGTCTCAATGTTGCCCAGGTTAGTCTTGAACTCCCAGCCTCAAGCTATCCTCCTGCCTCAGCCTCCCAAAGTGCTGGGATTACAGGCACGAGCCACCACACGCCACCTGACTTTTATTTCCAAAACCTCAAACTCTATGTAGAAAAGAGGAAAGTTAGCAGAAAAAAAATAGAAGCAGGATTTTTTAAATTAGTCCTGCCCTTCTTACTCTACCACAGTGTTAAGAGGTACTAATTAGGTCAGGGAGAGATCTTCAAACTATGGATTTTAGAGGAGCCCTCTAAAATGTGGCTGGAGAGGTATTGTGGCAAAAACTTCAAGAAAGGCTGGCTATATTATGCGTACAAGCAGGATCATGGAGATAGGTCTCACATATGGCATAGAGGCCACACCAACTAAAGACGTTCTGGCAACAGAGCTGATGGGCATCTAAACTTCAGCTGTATGCTCCAATAAACAGAGAGTATGCTCTCAGCCCACCCTCAAAACCTCAGCCTTGTATGATTTCCAAATAGGTAGAGGTGGAAATCCAAACAGGACATCAGCAGAACCAAGGCTCAAATTACAAATTAAGTGAAGTTATGTATGAAAATTGCATACTATTTCCTGCACATCTCTGCTCATGGGCTGAAATGTATACCAGTTATAAGTGGCAACCCATCTGGATCTTTCTGATTCCAATCTAAAATTAGAGACGCCTCATTTGGGGCAGTGGCCCCCATCCAGTGGGACTATTAGTTAACAAGTATGAGGGGAACTTCCAGAAGTCACTGCATTAAAAAAGTATTAGAAATACCCAGAGGACCAAAGTGGGCCCAAATTTGAAAGGGCACTGCAGACTGTCCCCAGGCAGAAGGAGAATGAAGATAGGGCAAATGTAGTCTTGTAAAAAACTAAATCTCCCAGTTTCTTAAAGAATTCCTAAATAAAAAGGGCCAAAGAGCAATTTTTTTGTGGTAGAAATTTTCAGACTAGAGATAATTATAAAATAAGAATGCAGCTTCATGTTCACATAATCCAGTTTCAAGAGTTATCAATATCCTGCCATTCTTGTTCCATCTACCAAACACATACTTTTAGTCTTTTGTTCATTTCTTTTTATTTAGGTGTTTGATACAGAGGAGTGGGAGACTTGGCTGTATTTTAAAGCAAATTCCAGACATTATGTCATTTCTCCTTGAATGCAGCAGTGTGTACCTCCAAAGATATGAACTTTTAAAACATAAGAGAAATATCATTATCTCACCAAACAAATTTAACCATAATTCTTTTATATAATTTGATAACCAAGCCATACTCAATTTCTTCCAACTATGCTAAAATATCTTTGTATAACTGTATCATGGAGATCAAGATCCAAACAAAGTCCACGCATTGTGATTGGTTGATACATCATTTAGTCTACAACAGTTCTCTCTCCCTTTTTATGGCATTTACTACCTGTCGAAAAAAACTAAAAACTAAGTACTTTATCTTCTAGAATTTCCCACAGTTTGGAAATGGTTAATTATATTCTTGTGATATTATCTAAGATGTTCCCCTATCAGCTGTATTGCCTTGTAAACAGGTACTTAGGTCTAGAGAACTGATTAGATTTAGATTCAGGGACATGTGAAGCTTGGAGAGTTTTGCATGAGAAATTACATTTTAGAAGATCAATCTGGTAATTGTGTGGAGAACAGACTTTTAGAAGGCAAAGGCAGAATTATAGAGAACAGGGGGCCTATTACAATAATCCAAGAGAGGTTTGGATCACAATGTTAGTTGTGAAAATAATAGATAATGGTCATCCTCTGGATGTATTTTGAAGTAAGAGGCAACAGAATTTGCTGAAAGATCAGATATTTTCCAGAAGCTAGGCTTCTGGACTCCTTTATCTGGTACCCCACCAAATGAGCCCATTCTACATCTACCCCTGAAGTTGTAGCCTGGGGAACATGTGAGAACACTAGATCAAAGGAGCCTCCTCTTGCAGAGACAAAGATGACTGCTTGTTCCTCCCTTGGACCTCCCCCTCTGGCTTTCCTCTGTTACTCTGACTTCCCCCACCACCAATTTCATCATCAAAATTACACATCATGACCAATTACACACCAGGACCAAATGTTTAAAGAAGAATCAACATTAACTCTACACAATCTCTTCCAGAAAAAAAGGCAGAGAGATGATTTCTGAACTCATTTTATGAAGCTAATAATACCCTGATACCAAATCAGACAAAGATAGCACCAAAAAAGATCCTTGAAAAGTCAGGGAATAAATGTTCACCAGGTGACCAAATATGACATATGAGTAGGAGTCACAGTCCCAGAAGATACACCCCAAATTTTTTACTTTTATTACCTCTGAGTTAAAAAGGAAAATGAGAGAAACAAGTGTAGAAGATAATGAAAGAGAACTCTACTCTGTATATTTCATACTCTGGATTGTTAGAATTCTATAACAAAAATGTCCCAACATATAATTTGTGTAATTAAAAATATACACATATTAAGAACAAACCAGGGAGTCTGACACTCCTAGCAAACTGACAACATCAAGAATGAAGCAGAAGATACCCTTACAGACAATGCAGTCATCAAAAAAAAAAAAAAAAAAATAGCAAGGGAACACTACAAACAACTCTATGGACATGAATTTGACAACTTGGATGAAATGAACCAATTCCTCAAAAAACACAAACTGCTACAACTTACCCAATATGAAATAAGTAAATGACATGCCCTGTAACTATAAAGGAAATTGAATTTGTATGTTAAACTCCCAAAAAAAGAAATCTCCATGACTACATGTTTTCACTGGACAATTCTGTCAAATGTTTAAAGAAGAATTAACATTAATTCCATACAATTAGTTGTGAAAATAATGGATAATGGTCATCCTCTGGATGTATTTTGAAGTAAGAGGCAACAGAATTTGCTGAAAGATCAGATATTTCCAGAAAAAAGGGAACAGAGATGATTTCTCAATTTATTTTATGAAGCTAGTAAAACCCTGATACCAAATCAGACAAAGATAGCACAGAAAAGAAAACTACATACCAATATTAGTAATAAATATAGATACGAAATTTGTAATAAAAGATTAGAAAATAGAATTCAGCAATACGTATAAAGAATTACACACCATGACCAAGTGGGGTCTATTCCAAGGATACAAGACTGATTCAACATTCAAAATTCAATCAATATAAGCCACTATATTTATAGGCTGAAAAAGTAAAAATGCATAGGCTAAAGAAGAAAAGAAAATCAACTGATGCAAAAAAATTTTTAAGCATTTTAAAATATTCATTCTAGCTGGGTTGGTGTGGTACTTCTATAGTCCCCACTACTGGGGAGGCTGAGGTGAGAGGATCACTTGTGCCAGGAGTTTGAGGCCATCCTGACAGCATAGCAACACTCCATATCTTTTTTTTAAAAAAAGTTGTTCTTATAAAAATAGGAATAGAGAGGAACTTTCACAACTCAGTAGAGAGAATCTACATAAAGGCTACAGCTAACATTGATGGTAAAACTGAATGTTTTTCTCCTAATAACCGAAACATGGTCTGTCTACTTTCAATGTTCTTAATAATAATCCTCTTAGCATAAAACTGGATGTTCAAACCAGTGCAGAGTTCACAAAAGAAAAACAAGGTCACAGAAATAAAACTTCCTATGTCCAGGTGACATGATTGTGTAGAAAATCCCAGAAAATCTACAGAAAGAAGAGGAGGAGGAGGAAGAGGACAAACAACGGTAGAGAATGAAGAAAAAGAAAAAAAGAAAGAGAGATAACTTCTATAAGTGAATTCAGCAAAGTTACAGTGTAAAAGATAAAATTACACCAATTGTATTTCATATATTAGCAACAGACACATGAACACCAAAAGTAAAACAATACCACTGGCCAAGCACAGTGGCTCATGCCTATAATTCCAGAACTTTGAGAGGTGGAGGCAAGAGAAGCCCTTGAACCCAGGAGTTCCAGACCAGCCTGAGCAACCTAACAAGAACCCATCTCTACCGGAAAAAAAAAAAAAAAAAAAAA